ACTGGGGTTAATATTTGCTATTTTTTCAAGCCTAAATATGAGTGCTATAAATATAGTATATCACAAATATATGCATAGATCAACATTACATGGTAATAAGCGGTGTAACGACCAACAACATTTTCATAATGTTTATAGTGGATTGGTTTAATTTATGATAAAAAAAAATTCCTATATACAAAAACTGGTATATTTTTTATTTTATTAGTAGCAATGATATCAGAGAAAATTGAAAGAATACAAATTTACTTTTTAATTTTATGTACTGGTAGTATTTCATTGAATAGATATTATTATGCGAAAAGATATACAAATACTCACTGTGTCAACACAGGTGGCGCTATTCAGCACAGCACAGACCAGATCGGTTGGTTTGCGGTGATCTGTGTGTGAATGACAAATACCGTATTGGCGCTGTTAGAACTGGCGGATCCAGAAATTCCGTAAGGGAGGGGGGGTTCTATTGACGTGGCCGGGGTAAACCTCTGGAGGGCTGGGTTTGTCATTTTTTTTTGTAGTGGAAGGTGTCTGTCCCTAAATCATATTAATGCATGTGCTCCACTTTAAATAGAGTAATTATGGTAATCTAAATCATTATGCAAATATGGTGTGTGGGTCAAACAATTTCATGGAGAATTTACAGTTTATCACTGTGCACACTTCTCATAAGGAAATGAACATTGTTTCAAATTGACCATGATGAAATTCTCTCCGTAACTCGTACAGCTACACCCGTACTACTAATGCACAGTTTTGATATTCATCAAAAAGATATGTTGGAGAATACTAAACTTCTAAAAAATCTACCAAGACATGAAAATAAATGAAATTCTAAAAAAGCATTGTGTCCGGCTGAACTGTTGGCCTATAGTATTCGTCGAATGGTAGGCGCCCTTGATTCAAATCTAAATATAAAATTCCATAAGCTCAATATTAATAAAAATAATAATGTTTGAGTCATTATTGTTATATTGAGTAGAAGTGCAATTTATTTTCATTTAGGCCAGACTTTTGTTATTTCCTGTTTCTCAATTTTTTATAAGACAATTTTTTGGAGGAGGGCGGAAAAAAATAAAATTAATTCTTTTTATCCCATTAGATTTGTGTGATTCTCAAAGAATTGTAAGTGAGATCATTGATCGGAGAGAAAAAATGAAATAAAATTTTATTCCATGTATAACCTTGTTTCCCATCTGCGCGAGACTTCAGTTCTTTGATCATGATACTTGTTATGCAGCGTGCGAAAAAAAAATGAAGATAAAAATAAGTTTTTTTTAGTAAATTACGCTGAAATAAAATGTTATTTTTATTTCATTTTCGGCTCCTATTCATTCGGCGAGTTCGTGAAACAAGGAATAATAAAAGTCTGGTCCTACCGTAGTTGGCTTCTGCCGAATCGTATCTTTCACCGTCACGGTCCGTCCCAGTACCGAAATATTTAGCGCCCTCATGAACAGTTTCGAGAAATGCGGAAATGCTTATCTTGATGACGCCTTCGCTGGTTCCCGGCGTCCTTTGCGAATGGCAGGTAGGACGCAGGTAACTAGTAATCGCCATATTGTTCCATTTGGGCCGGTTTTCAGGCCGGAAGGAACGCGACTGGGTGACGTAATTTGAAAACATTCCAAGTTCCGTTTTGCGTAAACGTGTCTGTAATGCTACAATAGAGCCATGCTCATACATACTGCCTGCTTAGATTTACAGATTTGATATGTTCTGTGCAAATTTATAACAAAAGAAACAATTCTTTTTAATCGCCCAACTTTCAAAAGCAAAAGGAAACCCCTGAACGGCCACGAGCGTAAGCGCTGACGTCAGGTAACTAAGGGAAATGGAACAAGCAACGAGAAAGTGATGTACCAATCAGAATGCCAGAACCGTTACTAGTTACCGGCCTCTTGTGGCTTGGTACGCCATGACACTTGAGGCGGGAACCAGCCAAGATGACGCCAGGTATCTGCCATTTTGTTCATCACGTTGTACATTGTGTCACGTGACATTGTGTGAAGTTTTGCGGCGTGTGGTCAATTTCGCAATCGTCCTCAGCGACGCCTAGGCCATCCATATCATGGCTCGTAACATACGTAATGACGAGACTTCCGATGATTTTCTGAGATGTTGTGTTTGCAAAGAGCAATATCGGGATCGACAGATTGTGCCGGGTTTTGAGTCTTTATGCTGGTCGATGTGTGAGCTCTGTTCAAAAAAACTGGTTGGACCGCGTTATGAGGACTTTATATCACCCAACGACCACAAACCAAAGCACATTGCTCAGCGCTTTGCTGGTGAACAACAAAGACAGCAAGATGACAACAATTACGACGGAGATATTGTTGTAGAAAAGGACAGACAGCGAGGTGACACCGATTCTTATTCGGATGTTGTTTATGAACAAGGGAGTGAAAACAAATCTGTTAAGGACATTGTTGGAGAAGAGGAAACACTGCGACGTGATAAGACGTGCCATGGTTGTCAAGAAAACCCGCCAACAAACAGGTGTGTAGACTGCGCCATGGATTTGTGTAGAACGTGCACCAAATCTCACAAAAAAGCGCCCGTTAGTCGACAACATCGTATTATGACTGTTGACGAGGCTAAATTGCCAGCCAAATTCATAATCACCCCCGTACATGTATGCACTTCTTATCACGAAAATCCAGTTAAGCTTTACTGTGAGGATTGCCATGTACCAACCTGTCTTACATGTATGACGTCAAATCACAAAGGTCATGAAATTGTGGGTTTGCAGGAGGCTGCTGACGAATTCTTTAAGCTGATAGTAAGGCAGCTCAAAATATTTAAACCCATACAATGTCAATTGGAAAAAGTAATACAAAGTACTACGAAACATTCCAAAGAGTTACCAAAACAACATTTAGAACGAGAACGAAAGATAAAGAAACACTCGCAGGAAGCTATTGAGAAAGTAACTAGGGTAATAAAACAAAGAGAAACCAGTCTCTTGAATGAATTGAATACTGAATGTAACAAATTGAGGGAGCAGATGAAAAAGCAGATTCTTAAGCATAAATCGAATAAAGAACGACTGACAATGTCATCAACATTTATGAGTAAATTATTAGAAGATCGGAATGCCGCACATTTGTTAAATTCGAGTAAAGAAGCAACAAACCACCTTGAATTAACGATGTTGCTTGATACAGCATGGGAGGACAACGATAACTCGCTCCCGCCTTTTCATCCGGGTGTCGTCAAACTGCAAGAAACTCTGGGTACTTTTCACAAGACTGAGGTAGATCTGGAGTCTCACTCTAATCAGCAAACTCAAGATTCACCAGATGAAGCAAAGACTGAATCAAAGAAGACCAATGAAGCGGCAGAGTTGAGCGGACCTCTTGGAGTGTGTATCGATACGTGTGGTGATATTGTGGTGGCTGATCATAATCACGAAAGAATTTCGATTATAGATATGAAGGGTACACTAAAGTCACAGATACCATTGAAAGGGTTTGAAAAACCTGCCTGTCCCATAGATATAGCAGTGTCTCTTGATAATACATACTTCGTCACAGATGAAGGAAATTGTCAGGTGATTGTGTGTAATAAATATGGGAAGATTTTAAAATGTTTCGGGAGAAAACGCATTAAGTATCCATGTGGAATTGCTATTAATCATAACACGGGTATTGTACATGTAGTGGACAGCAATGCACATTGTATTCACTTGTATCAAATAGTCGGTTATAAGTTTATAGAGTCGATTGGTAGTCGGGGTGTTGAGCCAGGCGAGTTGAAATTTCCGATGGCCGTAGCTATCAATAGTACGGGGTGTCTAATAGTCTCGGATATAGGCTGTGTTCAGGTTCTCTCACCTGATGGTAAATTGATGCATGTATTGAGTGGCTGTCCAACAAGGCAGTTTAGGCACATTTATGGAGTTGCTACAGATATAGGTGATTTTGTTTATGTCTGCGAGCCGTGGGAAAACAGGGTGCAGGTGTTCAGCAAAACGGGTGGATTTGTGACCACCCTTGGTGAACGTGGTGATTTGTTAAAGCGCCCTCTCGGGATCACTACTACTGATGACGGCAAAGTGTTAGTCACTGATGGCCGAGGTTATATTTATAGCATTAATCTTAATAATAATAATAAATGATGAAGTTGTCATGGTAAAACATCCTCATTGGATTGTGCTTGTGATGTTCATTTATTAAGATTAATTTCCATGGCATCGTCTTTGTGTATATATTGTAATTAGCCGTTTCTGAGTAAAAACCATATTTTTTGTAATTTGGGGTTTTGTCATAATCATCTATTCGATGTGTGTATGATTTAACTCTGAAAATGTACAAGTTAAAAATGGATATGAAAATGTTATCGGGTTTTCAAATTATTGTAAAGCTATCAAATATTCATATGTTTTTTTTTTATTTTAGCCATTTCCTCGAACAAGCATAGAATTAAAAAGCATACAAAAATGTGATAAAACTTAGAACCAGAAAATCTGTAAAAGTACTTTGAGAAAAGTAAAATAACAATCTTGCATACAATGTTGTAAAAACATTTCACCCTGTGATAAATGGGAATTGATGAATGGTTCACTTTGAACTGTTAAAGTGGAGGGGTCATCACCTGCACATGCGCGAATTGAGTTCATGGTGAACTACGCATGCAGAACTGCAAAGGCTTATGGGTAGACGCACGTTTGTGAACAACGACATGCTCTGGCTGTCTGTCGCATACATAGGTGACGACTCCCTCGCTTTAACAGAAAAATAATTCATATTCCTTCAAATATTGACTTGTAGGAAGAGTTGACATTACTGTATATTTTTTTTTGTTTATGATTATGTTTTCTCGTCAAGATTCCATGCTGTGTTGCGCTCATTATACTTCGCTGCACAGACGCCTAGGTATTTCTGCCCATTCAGATGTCAGTCTATGCAACTATAAAATAAGAAATAAAATAATCTATGCCGATTGGTTAGTTTCAATGCTATGCATGTAGCGATTTCACATGTTCTTAGGTGATTGACAATGTTTACATTAGCAGCATTTTCATTCAGCCAACTCAATTTGTGGCAAATATCAGACTTGAAAAGATAACAGCATGTCAAT